CCCCGAACTCTAGGGTTCATCAAGCCCTTTCTTTAAAAAAAATTTTTTTAATGCATAAGACTTTTTTCGAAAAAATAGGACTTCTGGACCCTAGGGTTCGGAGTTGGGGACAGGAGATGGTTTCCAAACCGTTACCAGTTACCCGAGAACTGGTAACGGCGGTAACTTCTCCGTTACCGTTACCAGGAACGGTCTGGGAACGGTAACTTCCCACCCCTAGTCAAGAGTACGAAAAGATCGAAAGTCTCAACTTTCACTTTCAGAAAAACCCTTCATCCATATTGTCATTAAGAACGCTTCAAAAAATTCGATAGTCTGATTAAAATAATAACATTTTAATCATTTTTTAAACAGAACAAATTTAATAAAATTAGATATTTTTAGAGTTTGTACAAGAGTACTGCTTTTTTATCCATGATGTATTTTAATGGCATACCACGTTTGATTGCAGCATACTTTCGAAATGACACTAAAAAAATATGGATACTAAATTCGAAAACAATCACATAATTTTTATGAAGATTTTAGATCTTGCTACAAGCATACTCAATTTAGAAGCCCTACCCTAGGGCATGGCAGGGCAGGGCTACAAATTATGAGTCAGGGCGTATGGCAGGATGGATCAGGGTACAGGGCAGGGCATAAAAAAGTGCTCTGTGACGGTCTCTGTGACATAATAAGAGTGATGATTAATTGAATGCATAAACAGTAAGACTTTATTCAACAATAACAAGTTTTACTCTGTACGTATTTTGGAAATACATCACCTCTTTAAATCAAAAAGCGAAACAGCGAGAAAATAGCGAAAACTTTCAGCAAAAAGCGGAAGAGGTTGCAAACCTGGTAGTAAATTAATTTATTTAGCATTTAGATGTATTTCAGCTAACAAAAATAAATAAATATTTTATTTTGAATTACTAAATTTAACACGAGATCAATATCGATTAAATGTATCTCTAACTTATTATTTCATATCTAACATATCAAATAAATAAAGAACAAGTAATAATATCTTTGTTGAAATCTCAGTCTACCGGCTTATTCCATTTTGAAATAGATTATGAAGTCTTCTTATTCCGTTTTTAATCTACATTCTAATGAATATCAATCAGAGAAAATAAACTAAATTAACTATGACATGGTGATCTCTTGTAATCTATTTAGAAAAATTCTTATCATTCAATTTCGAAAAAAACTTTGAGAATTATCATAAATTCCTTTACGCAAGACTACAGTAAAATCTTTAGATAAATGATGCGCTAGGCATAATTAAAGATTCTTAGAAATTATTTAAAATCTCAAGAAAACTGGTATATTTACACGAAAATCTATCACTAGTTTTCAAGACCTTCAACTGCAAAATATTAGAAAACTGAAATTAAAATTTTCTATATTGTTTCGCTTTTTCTGAAACCCCTTCGGAAACAGTATTAACATGAGAATTTTTTAATCAATAATAAATTATTTTTTCATCAAGTGATTCCAGTGTATAAAAAGTGAAACAGATTTAATAATTTTCTCTTGGAAAAAAAAGAACAATCTCAAATGTTGCTTTGATTTCAATGTTTAAGAATTTTAATATGTTCTATGCCACGCTGAACTAATGATAAATTCTCTATTCGAGATTATAATAAAATGAATAATAAAATCGATGATAAATTAAAACAAACATTTTTAAATCAAACTCAAGTATATTTAAATAAATTTATTTATAAAAATTATCATAAAATTTTTTATATAGAAATTAATAATCTCATCTGGAAAACCTGTTGATAATCTTCAATCTTTACTTAAAACAATAAAACAAGCAGGTTTATTAAATCCCTTTTTTTTATTATTCCTTAAAATTATTTCAGTTTTCAAATAAAGATCAATATGAAAATTATCAAAATTTATTTAAATCAACTCAAATCTCATCGTTTGATGAACATAAATATGAAATAGATTATTTAAGGCCAACTATGAATTTTTATATGTTGTTAATTATCTTCTTATTTCTTACTGTTTAGTCAACATGGGAAAAACGAATAGCTAAAAGTTTAAATACAATGTGTAGTCAAGTTAATTTACCATTTGCATGACAAGTTGATTTTAATTTATAAATAAAATGTGTTTTAGTTTTTATTTAAATAGAAATGAAAATGAAATGAAATCTATAAGGAGACATTGGAATGAACTTGGTCATATTTGTGGAGGTTTTACTTTTTTTATTTAATTTTTAAAATATTTAAATCGTTTTCGTCCTGTTTATTCCACAAAAGATTTTCTTAATTTTATTTCTCTATTAGTTAATCCAAATTTAAAAACTGATGAATCACTTTGAAAGTTAGTATTTTATTTAATTATTAAGTTCAGTTGAGGTTTAATCAAAATTCCAATAGTAACAAAAAGTTTTACACAAATTGTATATTTTATTTAAGTATATTGATGTCATTGAGTTATTATTAGTATGATCAGAATAATAGAATATCATCTAACTAGCTACTCCTCCATACAGAAAATACGTTTTGTTAGATGATATTGTGCTGCTTTTTAGTGTTGAATTTCAACAATACTCACAGAACTGTTTCAATAGGTTCCTCTTGAAACTCTTACTTATAAATATAAACCAATATAATAAAAAGAATAATTTGTCAATGGAAATATATGATACAACCCGATATCTGATCATAAAAAATTCATATTTCTCATTCTTATTTATTTTGTTATGGATATAAACATTTTTATATCATTTATTTTTATCTACACTATCAACATAGAATTGAATTTACAATGAAGGAAAATACCGATAAATATCTTCTGAAAAACGTTCTGGCTTTTCGAAAATTAATCTTTTAACTTTTGAACAATTGCGTCGTGTTCCATCTCTTGTAAAGTTCATTGTTACAGCTGTCAAATGTCTATATTTGACTTTTAACTCAGTTAGATGAGGTAGATGTGTCTTTGTTTCTAATAGAAGTTGCAAAACATAATCCATATGCGAACACATGAAGTCAAGTGATATAAGATGAGGATATTCAATAATTGAATATGCTGGATAGTTATCACACATAAATTCATCACGATTCCACGACTGGCACAAGTAATATGATAACTTGTTAAGGAGAAACACTTCAAATTTTNTAGTTCATTGTGGCAAGTTGCTAAAAGACTGTTGTTGTAATTAATGCAACGGAGAGATAAACCCGATATTTGCGACATTTAAATGGCACGGAATTTTACTATGGTGCTGCGTAGCTATCGATTCTATAAATATAAAAATGAACAATTTCAACTATGCCAAGTATGGACAGTCCGAATAACGGGTGATGCAACGGTTTCTCGAAAAATGCGCTTTATTTTACTTCAACAGAAACATTTTTTGTACAAATAAAATTACCTATTCTGAATCTATGTTGAAAGCACTTTCCAGGTGAATCCATTCGACACAGAATTCTATCTGATTTTCTAAAATTCTATCAACCAACAAAATCCGATGGAAATTCGGGCTGAGAAATTACTAATGGAACCTGAAGGTCAGATCTCTACAATACTCAATAACAATCCACCGTAGGTACGGGCAAAAATTCTGACTAATGAGTTCCGATCCGTTACCTGTAGTATCCCATGGGACTCTTTAGATGTGGTACAAATCCTATATGTTCTTGTGTAATGTCTCATTCCAATAACAACAGGGTTCGACTCAAAAGATCTATGAAGATCTGTATGTACATTCTTTCGTACTCCTAGCCCAGCAAAAAAAGAAGCCGTATACTATGCTAGGAAACACTTCCGGGGATCCGAAAAAAAGTTGGACATCCAACTTACTGACAAACCAATAATTAAAATAAACGGACGTTGTTCCACTACTCACAATAAATTGGTTTCTCTTATATCGTCTTCAAAGATCCTTTCTTACTAATTTCCCAGAACTTTTTTTCCACATAAAAAAATCTAATGATTATCCCTTTCATATGGATTTCTTCGTAAGTTCCATCAACAACCTTCACACTCACTAGCACAACTCTCGCTGACCTCCACCTGTCACACTGTTGACCACGAGTATTAATATTACAGTTCTCAAAATTTCGTCCTTCCTCAACTTGTTCATGCCCCCATATGGATCTAATGCTGACGAGAACATAACCGGAATAACATTCGTTAACGAATGAATAATATCTTTCATTTGAGAGAACCCCAGATGAATCATTCCAACAATCGGATCCAATGGGACCCGACAGGAGTCTCCTGGTATTTTCCAAGTAATTCTATGAAGCCGAAGCGTTCCATTTTGATCTCGAGTTCTAATGCAACATGTGAATGCTTATAGTTCTCGAATCCGATTACATTCCACTATCAGATACGCCGAAACCTACCACTGGGTTTTTGATTCAACTCAAATATTGGCAAAAGCTACAAAGCAGTAACCAACAAATGACAAATGGCTTACCGTTCCATCGATTACTAGTTCCTCAACTACGATTCCCATCGGATTCTATCAGTCGACGGTATCTTATCCGATTTAATTGGATTCTCTATCGCACTCAATGACTTTAGACTTTCAATAAAAATGAATTTCTTATACAAAAGTATATTTTATCGCAAATCAGTCCAACACATGGTCGGAATTATTATATATATGACAGTACTTTTTATTCCATATAACAAATAAAAGATATTAAACGGTCGTCTTTTCTCTTTCACTCGAAAAAAATCAGAATATAGAAAAGAAAAAATGAATCTCTACTGGACTTCGAACTCAGGTGTAGTGTAAAAATAAATGCGAAAACCTCGGATTTAAATCCGAGTGTTATGTGTACTTCAACAAGTGAAAAGATATATTCACTTTGTTTTTTATCATCTGAGACATATCTAGGCAATTTGGTTTCTGGATGCAGTTTTTGTGCACTTTGAGACCTTTTTCAGGCGATATTTTGTTAGAAAGCTACGATTCGGTTCAAAACTAATATCAGATTCGAAATCAGTGTTAAAAACTGAGTCGATTTATATATGTTGTGAATAATTCTGAGAAAAATATTTTTTTGAAAAAATCCCTGTACTCCGCCTCAGGAATGGTCTGGTCAATAATGACAATTTTTCCGATAACTTAGCCATTTCTTGACGGATCCTTCTCATCTTCTTCTCTCGACCGAGATATTGATGAGTCAATTCTGTGCACAAAATTTCACCTCAATTGAATGTAATTGTGAAGAGTTATCGTGTAAACGGACGGCCGGACATACTGACCAATTCTAGAGTGTACTCACTTTTTGAGTACACAAAAGAGTAGAATAATTAGCCCTTCAAAAGGATTTTTTACTTAGAGCTTATCCAAAAGTAACGAGCCTTAGATTACATTTAATTGCAGAAAGCTTTCGAAGAAATTCTTTCATTAAAAATAGATAGTGCAGAGACCTCTGCATGACTAAAGTATATCAACATTAGTCAAGCAATACTATCATGTGGAAAAATTTTCGTTTCTAAATTAAAATGCGCACTGCACTTAGCATCCAACCGAAATCAATTTATGATGAATTATATTCTCTTTTTGGCGGTCAAGCTCCAACTTACAATACAGTTACTAGATGGTCGAAATGCTTCTGTGAAGTTCAAGAAGAGATTGAAGATCAACCACAACCTGGCAGACCTATAGTCGAGACAACGCCTGGGTTGTGTGGGTATGAATGTGAGTGTTATTCTTTCCTAAACACCACAGCCACAGCCATACCCTACTCGAAATAATACCCGTAGATGGAGAATTCAGCTCTGCATCGAAAACCTTCCTTTAGAAGCTCACTACAGATTAGGCAATGAATTCGAACATAAAAATCTCATATTTGCTGTTAAGACTACTTTTGTTGCAAATGTTTTGAAGAACGTCAGATCGCTTTAAAATATTTATATAATTCTTTGTCAAACTTTATTTTCACAGAATAAAAAATACGCTTCCGATTTCGTCTAAAACTTTGAAAATCTATAGTTACATGATGGTCACTTTCTTGACACTGTCTCGAATTTCATATATGAAATTATTTTACAGAATTGAGAATAGTTCGATTATATTTAATATTATGTTCTTTGAAGATGTTCATATATGAAGTTAAATGTTGGGACATTGGTGGATGAAACAACTCACCCATCCACACATCAATATTGAAAACTCATTTTTTTAAAGTTCACACTAATGCCATTTATGAATTTGATTATAAAGCCGATAGCGCTGTCGTTTATACAAATATACTTGTATAAAACTTGTCGAGTTTAGGAGTGACACTTAAACTTTACTTTAAAATTGAAGTTAAAATAATTTGTTTTTAAATTTTTTTTCCTAAAAAGATCATTTCTGTCATAAACAAACGAAATTCATGCAGACAAATTATTTTTTTTTACAGAAGAATATATCTGAATGGAAGAGAAGCATTACTTTTAAACAATAAAATTTTATAAAAAGATCATCTTTAAATTTAACTACTTTCTTTTTAAAATCTTAAAGTTAAAGTGTCACCGTTACTCCTGTACAAAATTGTCTCAATAATCACAAAAAATCTGACTTTTAATCGATTATAGTCGTACGATTCTTAATCAATAATTTACACAGAAGTACGCACAAAAATATCGGTTAATTTTCTTGAATTTGATTCTAATCGATTTTCAACGCAGTTTCAAACCGATTAGAATCAAATTCAAAAAAATATTCGATTTTTTGTGATTATTTTTTAGACGAGTAGTCCTGTTCAAAAACAAATATTTCTTTCTGTTAATTTTCTTTTTCAAAAATACAGAAAATAAAACTGTTTGAACAGACATATATTTTACTTCGCAAATAAGCTTATTTTTATTTTCCTATCTTTTCAAACGTATGCTTCTCTCAATTTTCTTTGCCATGTCTGCGTGTTCTTTATACCTTTTCAAAAGAAGAGCTATTGCAAAAGAAGAAGAAAAATTGCACTTGCTTCTCATTTGTTTCACTACATACATTAGTGAGTTTAGTAATCTTTATTCTTTCTCTGAAAAATGGGAATACGGAATATGTTTGATATAACAAAAGAAAAATCGAAAGATTTTAATAATCTACTTACAGTTGAATATAACTTTAACTTTCCATAGGAGTTGGTTTGCTATAAATTATNTCACAGTTCGTTGCAGATGTTTGATTGAATTACTGTAGCCTTCGCTGGATTCATCAACTTTTGCATCAAGCCAAATCAAAAGAAAATTTTGAACAATATCATCTAGATCAGTACGATGGCTCCGTTTTGCAATGCCATTTGAGTGCAATTGATGATTTAAAGTAGAGGGTGGTGGTGATGGTAATGGCGTCATTGTTTTAGTAGGATGATGATGATCGCTGAGAGAATCAGCTATTGGTACTGATCTGCTACAGCCCATATTGTGCGTACCGTTAATAGTTGTATGTGGTGTCAAACTGAAATCATAAATGAATAAGTGATTGCTATTCAACAAGAAAGCTCTTTTTTTTAAAAGAAAACTTTCTTTGACGATGATTTTTCTTTCTCAATTATCAATAAATATTTTTTGTTAATACTCGAGAAGATGGCCTGGCTTCAAAAAGAAAGTGGTGGATGTGAGTGTGAGCATTGATTCCATCCATACACACACCTCGAACATGCAACCAACCAATAGTAATGGCACAGTGAAAGTATAAAAATTAATTCACTGTCGTAAAACTTTTGGAAAAAGTTCTTGATGTTTTAAATATTATGACAATCAAACACTCGAACGACAAAAGCTCTGTTGAAGAAATACAATTGTAAAGGAAGTGTTTCGATTGAAAACACAAAGCTGGTACAATTGAATTTCGAACAAAGAGCTACTAAACTGACACTTTTTGTATCGTCTGTGTGGTAGTTACTAACAACTGAGACAAATATCTCCAAATGGGATAATCAACTAATCAATGGAAGACTTTTAAGAAGATGTGATTGTGGTTGTGGTTGTCTTCTTTTTACTCACACTCATACTGTATGTAATGAATCAAAAGGCGTCGTTGAATGGTAATACATTAGAACATGGCTAAACGAATATTTTTTAGAAGGCAGAAGATATAGAGAAATTCGTTTGTCTTCTTATACATAGATTATTTTTTTCTTTCGTTGATACTATTGTTTTAGTCGGTTGCTATAGGCGTGTATTTTGCTTGTTACTGAAGAATTTCTTATCTTTTGTTTCAAGAGTGCTGACAATGTGAGTTTGCATGAAAGCACAACAACAAGACGAATGCGCGGTAATCGAAAGAACAAGCATAAAAAAACCATAATAGAATTGTTTCTTCTTATCATTGACTGAATGAGTGTTTTGCTTATGGGCATCATGCTATTGAAACGATCCCAGTGAAAAAAGCTGAACAGGAAAATATTAATGAGATGTGTTGGTGTAAAACGGATGATACATGATAGTAAGGGTGTGTGCGAGGGATGTAAGGAGAAGATCCACATCCACACACACCCTCACCCCCCTTTTTTGTGTTCATATTAAACTTTTCGACGCGAATAAAATTTTGATTATTGTTTTCAACTATGTCAAATTTTTACAATAGTTTTTTTGCGCAACTAGTTTCAATCTGAATTTTCGCCTATTAGCAAGTTTGATAGAACTGAAATTTTCCAAGAAAATGAGCATATCTTTCTCGATATATTGTATTTCCAAGCAGTAGATCTCAAGAAAGACGCTTTCATTTTTGTGGAACATTTTAGAGCTATCAAACTTACTTATAAGCAAAATTTTACATCAAAACTATTTGTTTAGAATTTGTCGAAAATACCTTGTTCAATGAAATTTTCATTAAAAAAGTCATAACTGTTGATCAGTAGGTCATGGACCGAAATCCTTTCAAGCTTGGTGTTGTGTGACTGAGACCTTCTCGTATAAATAATATGAAGTCGAATGATATCCGATTGTGTGGGGTGGGTGGGTGAGTAAAGAAAAAAGTCATACATAGACATGCAAACCATATTCAGGAAGATAATAATTTTTTATGAATTTGATAAAAAAGGAACAGGTTACACAAGTTTTACTTAAAAAAATAATCAAAAGATATATCCACAATACATTAATTTAATCCCAACAATAAAAGAGCATTGTCCTTATCTCATACTTTGCAATGCTATTTTCGAAATTTGTCAATCAAATAGTATTATGAGGAAGATTTTTTCGCAACGTGAAGACTACGGAATATAGAACATCTAGAATCAAGTTCTCTTCTTCGTTCAACAGCCGATCTAGTATAACATTATTTATTAAAATGAATGCCTTCATGTTTTCTATAGATTCTGCTATATTCAATAGTTCATAGTGTATGATACTGTTTATACCAAATATTCAAATAGCATATTTTGTTATTGGATGAAAAACATTGTTGTTTCTATCTGTCTTTGTTGGGTGTATATCAGAAAGAACGAGAGAAGCATTCTTTGGTTTCTTACTTCTGACCGTAAAAGGCGTTGTGCCCTTTCGCATCAGTTGACCATTCATTTTGCTCTTATTCAACATCGTATCGTAAACTTTTGCATGCTTTTTTCTTTTAGTTATTCTTTAAAATAAAGTAATTATACCCACTTTAGTCTCATTAAATAATTAGTGTTCTTTTCATGAAAGAGGGATTCTATAACATTAAATTGATAAGTTCTTATGAGCTGTGCTATGAACAGTTCTCCACAAGCAGTGTTTCTACTGCTCGACTTCGTATCAAGATTGTGCTAATACCAAGTGATCCTTTTTCTATCAAACAGCTTTTCGTCTACGTATAACTAGAGTTTCAACAAAACACAGCGATGATTTATTTCAAGAGTTTTGATCATTTAAGCATCAAACTAAATCTGTATGTGTACCATGTTTCAGGAAATCGACAACTCTCATAGTTCTGTAAAATACAGCCCCATCTATACGGCTAACTTTATATGAACAATCACAATTTCAGCATTCCTTTGAAAAACAAAAGGGTGTAGGTACATTGAGCCTCTCTGCAATCTGATCCACAAGCACACTCACACTTGATGTCGCGATATTGATTCTATTTATCGTAAAGACATTTATCACATGCTCTGTATAATGAATATGTATAACAGACTTATTGACCGGTTAAATTAATGATTAGAATAATACTAATAGCATTAAGTTAAGAAAGACAGAACACGAAAATGAAAAATAACGAGGCAATAATAATAAAGCAAACAAAAAATATAACATCAGTAAAGAAAAAGAAAAAAAATTGTTTAAAGTGCAAGAATTAATAAGACAGATCGTTTCTCTGGCGATCGAATATACTTGGAAAATAACTGTAGCCTGTGAGAGAGTTTTCATTTTATGTATTTTGTGCCTGTATAACGAGACCAAAGGGCATATGTGAATCTCACAATTTAGCCCTAAAGAGACTATGCGCTTACAAGGTTTTGCACATCATTATCACTAATCTAAACATCAATGTTAATAGCGGTGATTTCTTGTGGATGTCGGCATTAGTTTAAACGTGAATATCTATGAGAAGATTGAGACCCACAGTCACATGCATACTTTAACTCTACTCATATCTACACTCACATTCCACAATCACATTTTTTATCAGTGATATAGACCATCTCATGAATTTCAGACAAGAATAAAAATTCTTCATCGAAGAGCATTTCAATATACTCTGCGACTGTTGAACGATCGGGGCGAAAGATCAATCTTTCAAAGTTGCGAGTTCGTCTGAAATTCAACATATGTATCGATGTAGCGAAGCTCATGAAGTAAAGAACCAAACATTTTAAAACAGAAATAACATCAGGAAAAAAAAGAAAAGTAAAGACAATCTATTGCCATCACAATGTGTACAAAAAGATCTTAGAATATTTTTGCATGATTACTAAAAAGACACTATAGATTTTATTTATTTAAATCAACATAAGCACACACAGACACACACACTACCAAACAGCACACTTTTTAACACGACTATTGCCTTGTCCCGGTGTGCAGTTAAACACCCGATCGAATTCCACAAAATTTGACGTTGGACCAAGAACTCTGAAAAAAAATAATTATTTATTTATAAAAAGAATGAATATCAATACCTAAATTGTGCAAGCGAATGAACATCTGTTAAAACTCTATTTAAAGCATATTGATCAGTAAATTTTGCACACCATCCATGAGCATATCCAATAAAGAACATTTGCTCTTGAGAATATTTGCTTAAACTTGGTAATCTTCTATCAACATTTGGATTGTCGTGTACCCAATTTTGATAAGCCTTTAATAAATAGGAAGATCTCAGAGGATTCCAATGTATACATATAAATAACTTACAAAAAACGAACTTTTAATTCCACCATTATCAGCAATATTTTCTCCTTGTGTTTGGTCACCATTCAACTGAAAAAGGACAAAACTTCGATTAACAATTTAATCAATAAACTTAGATGAAAGAGACCTTTTTATGAATTTGATCTACTGTATAATTGCTATATTGATCGATAATACATTGTTTACGTTCATTGAATTGACTTATTGTACTATTTGTCCACCAAGGAATTCGATTTCCATCTTTATCATATCGACGGCCATCATCATCAAACCCATGAGTGATCTCATGTCCGATAACCATACCAATACCTAAATCAAAGAATAATTTTCCAGTCGATGAAAATCAAACGATTACATACCACCATAATTAAGATATCTAAAACAAAAGAATAGCAATAATTAAATAGGTTTTTTTTTAAAGAGAAAAGTCAAATTTACTTAGGTGCATCTTTGTTAAAATATGGCATTTGAAGAATACCAGCTGGAAAAGCTAAAGAAAAAAAAATAAAGACATTGACAAGATGCTTCATTAGATAATGAAACGTTACAGATAGCATTTGTTGATGGTTCATAGAAAGCATTGACTACGGTTGGAGGAAGATCACCCCAAGCACGATGATCAACAACTTCACGAAGTGTTCGAAAATCTTCTCGAGTTTTAATTTGTTGCATTTGAAGAACATTTCTGATGTATGATGTATTAAAGACATACTAAAATAATTACATCACTTGAATTTGAGTTTCGCAAAGATAACTGATTTACTTACTTCAGCATACATATGTTCCAATTGTGTTGTATTATCGCTAACTATATAATCAGGATAGCCAATATTCTCATAGATAGCTTTTTCCTACATAATAGAACGGGTCAATTTGTTTTATTCTCTTTTGAAAAAACAAATGCGATTACTTTATCAACAGCTTTTGCTTTTGAATCATCATCCATCCATGTTGCTTGTTGAAGCATTGTTATCATTGAATTGCGAATATTTTTAATAATCTCTTTTGATTGATTACGAGCATTATCATCAAAATATTTTTTTACATACATTCTTGAAACAGCAAAACCCATATTATCATTAACATAATTTGCACAAGTTGTTGCACGTGATGGTTCTGCAGTAGTGCCTTTAAAGACTCGATCAAATTGTTCACGAGTACTTCGAATTCGTCTTGTCATACTGCTTGCTCGATTCATCATAAAACGCCAAATTAAATAATTTTGTACTACACGTGGTGGAGTTTCTTGAAGAATTGAGGAAACATTTACTAAATAAGCAACTTCACTAACAGATATGACGTCTGCATCGAGTAAAGTTACATTGCCAATGAGATATGATTGATGAAGATAATTGGTAAAATCAAACTAGAGATTTATATGAATTAAAAAAAAGATTAATTAGATAATTCAGAGAAAACGACTTACATTAGATTTCAGTGAATAGGAAAGATTGCCAATTGTCGTTCGAATAGTTTCATTATCTCGAAGACGTTGTTCTGATTCAGTCCAATGATACTAAATAGAATTTTTTTTATAGAACATCGAAAGAACTCAAAAGAAATTACTTGAGAAATATTCTTTTCCAATAAGTACATTGCAATAACATCAGTTGAAATTGCTGCTGTTTCATTGGTTAATGCCGAAGCTAAATCATTCATAAACTGGCGATAAGCTGCAGTAATATCCGTTTCATTATCGTAATATTCTGTTTCTTGTAAACCGAGACTACCTTGTCCAAGCTAAAACTCAATGTTCCTTAAGCTAATCTTAAACTACTGTTATTTCTTACTTCAATATCATAGACTGATGAATTTTCTTGATTTGTTGCTGTATCAATTCTGTAGATGATTTCATTATCATATTTGCGCAATTTGAGTAAAAGATCTGATAAATTAAAAGTGGTAGCATTCCACGAAGAAGCTTGCAAAATAGGCCATCCGCCAAATTCATCATTAATAATGGAAAGAATAGCTTCAACACCATCGTTTTCGATAGCTGTTTCATTTATACACGATTCATATAAATTACGAGCATTAATAATGGCTTCTGGTTCCATAGTTTCATTAGATGATGTTGAGGATAAAAGATCTAAACAGATAAGATTGAAGATGAATGAGAGAAATTTAAAATTATACCGATGATGTTTAAATCCAACTGTGTATCCAAAAGATTAAAAATATTTTGGACGCCAGCTAAAATAAGATTTTGATGATTTGTTTTTATTGAAAAGATAAGAACTTACTATCTTCTGGAATGCGTGCATTTTTCAGCCATGTTCCACAAGCAAAATGATAAAAATCTTCACAAGGGTCGACTGTTTCATCGATAGAATCCAATAGATAATCAGCTATAATCGCATAAATTGATGTTTTATGATTATTCTTAAATTTAATACATACCTGCTTTGATACAATAAGGTGTCAAGCATAAATTATCGTCTGAAAATAAATTGAATTCATATTTTTAAGTTAAATTATAGTAAAAAGATGAATGGCAATACCGATTGGTGTTGTTGTTGTTGTTGCTGCTGGTGTTGTTGTTATTGTTGTTGCTGCTGATGTTGTTGTTGTTGTTGTTGCTTTGTGTTTTTCAACAGCGAACAAAATAGCAAAAAGTATTGTGGTACCGAGAAGAAGAACAATCACAAGAGCAAACCATCGGTGGGATCTTCCTCGTGACTGATCCCCTAATAAAGGTGTTGTACTACAAATAAATAGAACTAGTAGTTATGTTTTAATTAGACGATGGTGCATACTTGATAGATCCACCCTCCATATATTGTCAACTCAATTTAACCTGAAATATAATTTTAAATAATTAATAGATTCTCAATAAAGCAAAAAATTCAATTTCAACCGAACAGGAGAGCATGCAAAAGACACAAAACGGCTGTAATGTTTTTTTTTGTCTGATGATAATATATATAAAGAGAACACTTTCATGCTCATCATCATACTGCAAATTCTACAAATGATAAGATATCTATGAATAACGATTTCGTTCTTTGTACTTTGCTCTTATTATTCTTGCATATGTCCTTGACAATATTGTGAGAATAATAGAGACAAAGAAGTGGCGAGTTCTTTTTTTTGCTTTTGAGTTACATAGTTTGCCCATAAAATAACTAAACATACATGCAGTTAGAAAACTTCCCAGGTTAAAAAACGAGACGTTAAGATCTAGTAACACTAGATAAGATCGTACAAAAAATCGTAGTCTTAGAAGTCTTAAACTGATTTGTACTATAAGAGCCTTGAAAGCTCTTGGGTGTGTGGGTGTTGATGTAGAGAAAGTCATCACTCATAGTCTTTATTTTTGGTGCCGCAGGAATATTAAAATCGAAACAGTGTCAGGTTTATTTGTTAAAACAACTGATTCTAGGTCAAACATAATCGAGATAATTCAATTATTCATGCAGTGTACATTCGTGCGAAGAGTGTTGATGGGTTTTTTATGCAGATCTCAAAGTGATATTCTCATCAATATTTTTCTTGAAAAGACCTTATTTTTCTTCAATATATGACTGGAAAAAAGAGTTGCAAAACATAAGAAGATGGAAAAGAAAAACACGCTTTAAAAGTAAAGATCGATATGTACAGAACAGATTTTCAATTCAATTGAATAGAACTTTATTCGACATTATGTTATTGTCAATCTAATAAAACCTTTATTAGCTCTGATCAATTTTTTTGTACACTTAGTTCCCCGAATATTGCTATGTCAATATTTTAAACAGCTGAAGAACCAAGTTTGATTGAAACAAAATGCGTTCGTGGAATATTTTTTAATGTTAGTCAAATTAGCAAGGATAAAATTTTATATAAATCTATTGATGTTGAAAACTAAATACGAACAATTGAATGTGATCTTAATATGAAAATATAGTCATATGAAATTATATCCTTAACAATGAGAAGGTAATAGTCCTTGTCGAACTAATTATTGATTACTTTTTCTTATAATCGAATTCGTTGACTCGATATAATTGAACAAGAAAATAGCTTGAAAAGTTTGTTTCTTGAAGATAATATGAAGTCTATGAAAGATGAAATACTTTTATTTGACACGAAAAGAAGTTGAAAATAGAATTATACATGGCTTAGTTAATCGTTCAAGATCAAAAAAGTAAGTCCGAATGAAACACCATACAATACTTGGTATGAAATTTTTTACATTCATCTTTTTGCTTGCTCTCATGCACTAGAGAATATTCGAAAGTGACTCGTTCAGTCGCATAAATTCAAGATTCGATGTGAACAAAGCGAAAAAAGGCTCAACCTTGACTCATGAAATGAAAATCATAGAACTCAAGCAGTTTGTAATTATTTCATGTCCTGTGCATATTCTTTCTTTGTAACAAAGACATGATTTTCTTGCAGGAACTTCTGAGATTTTGTTTTTACTTTAAGTTTTCATTTAACACACTGCAAAGACCTATTAATTATTGCAAGATAAATATTGTCGATGAAGAAGAGAAGCAATGTTAAAATTTTTGACTTTCTAATAACATCTCATATGTTCAAAAATGTTTAAGATTAGATCTTTTCGATTTAGGAGTGAGGCTAGTGGCATTAACAAAAGTTCGAAACAAAGAATAATTTTTTCTGTTATTTGCAGCAGCTACTAGGACTTATTTTTGTGAGATTTATTTAGATTTTACAATGAGTCCCTATGCCTTTCGGCATAAATCTCAAATCATTTCTCTTTTCGTGCATGCATCTCTACAGTGTGGGTGCACAAAAATATTACCTAGTTTATCAATCCGAATAAGTTCTGTAGAAAAATACATTTCAAAAGCAATAAATTCCCGTAGCTCCTCACATGTTGTTACAGGTGAAACAGATTGTGACGAATAATCTATATGAGCACAATACCATTCTCAATATATAGCTGTTCATTATGTTATACCTCAGACATATAGTGGACGGTCTATTTGTGCGCGAGTCCCATAGCCTCATCATCGTAGAAAGCCATAAGACAAACCATCACACTTATTGTCACTCATGTAAAGAATAAGTGACTCTTTGTTATTCTTGACGATTCTATTCGATTAAAGTGAGAGTAAAAGTGAAAATACATACTATTTTTCGCTATTTTATAACTTTTATGAAAACAAAACACTGCATTCTTAAGCTACTTTCAGTACACTTTATAGTAGCAAAAGGATCTTTTATATCACAATACAATAAAAAACGTTCATTACTATTACTTAATTGGTTCTAAATCAATGAATTTCATTGAATTTTACTATTTAATAATGTACTTTTGACCACATTTTTAAGAGAGAGTTCACGAGAGGACCGAGGATCACCCTAGTATGAAGCTCTGGTCAAAATTTAAATTTTGATCAGTGCCACATATCCTCGGTCCTATCGCAAATCGTCTCTTAATACAGTGGGAAGCACAGCATTTATTCTTTATTTTTTGTAGTCTTGGCGAGAATGTTTCTTGCTGCGTGATAATGCAAATAGACACATGGTTTTGATTTTAAAATTGCACAAATTATACTGTTAGCACTGATAAGCCGAATAAATTACCTGTTGTTTGCATTCTTTAGTACAAACATATATGACAGTTGTCAACGACGTTTTCTTTTAATCTCTTATTCATCGCAACGAAAGCTAATAGCGGTGTTTGTCCAGTATGGCAAAGCATTTTTCAAGAGAAAATCATTTCTAACATTTTCGAATGTCCTTAGAAAATGTACTTCGTGCAAGTGCATTTACTAGGATCATTCTTGACATTGCTTTGTGAAACGTTCAGTTTCTTCAACTTGTCTGTTATCTAGAATAATAATATCTAAAGTCATCTTATGGTCAAGCTCAACAAAACATAACGCAAGTGAAAATCAAATTACAAAGACAGACAGATCTCAAGGATAGAAAGCGAAAGACAATTAAAACATTAGTATTTCAGTAAAATGCTGTACTAGAAAAAGATTGAAAACAACAAATGTTGATATGGACTAATGATTTTCGTGAGACACAAAATATACGTTTAAGTAAAGATTTTACGATAACTACACAGAAAACAAAGAGCAAAACCGTCTTCTAAAATGAGAAATTTTACTCTCAAAAATCCCCACACAAGCTTTTTGAGAAAATCGTGATGACTCCATCGATACTCTGGAAAAAAAAGGAGGTTTGCAGAACCCCTCAAAAAGGTTCTGTAGATTTCTAAAAGCATCCAAATGTGTCCAAAGTCTCAAAAAACGGATCAAAAATTCG